GCCAATGGTGTTTTCGTAAATTCATCGCGGGCGCATTATCAACGCGTGGAGTCATGAGTATGGGGCGCCGTCGTTGGCCATTGTATTACGTTGGTGTGCATATGTGAGGCCTCATAATCTGCGACGCGAATAGCAGTTACGCTAAGTAGTCGAGGTGAGCGACAGCTCATTGTTTCGGGTAATGGAGGGAGTGGTCGAGGGGGTACAATCAAGGGTAGGAGTCGGGAGTGCTCTATCAAATTGGGCGGTGATTGCAGTTTGACAGGTGATGACAACCGCTGCTACAATATGTAGTCGAGGTGAGTGACAACGGCTACCGTCATCGTGGTGACCGCTTTATGGTGGTTATCACCTATAGAATGTCATAGTTGTAATAGGAAAGACGCCCACAGCTATCTCGTAACAGTCTTACCTGCAAGCTAGTTATGCATATCTGGGAAAGGGGATCATCCACAGATGTTCCTCGCACTGCCACTGCAAGTTTGTGCTGGTGTCTAACTTTATTGCATTTAATGGAACATGAGATCCATGGGGAAATGTGTTGTGAGCAGGTTCGTCGGACAAAAATATCCCATTTGTTAAATCTGAGGTATCTAAAGCAAACAAACAGCTGCGACTGATCCAATAGGGTGGCATTTGCATCAAATACTCTTAAGATGTTATTTTATTCATCAGGAACACCGAAGAACGCCAAAATATGCTAAGTGCGATTTCAATTTTGCTCACTTAAACAAAATGTTACGCGCAACATGTAACAGGAAGGTGCAAATTGATTAGACTAACTCCCCATTAAAATAGCAACTTCGAAAACCCCATAGTTTAGGTGAACTCAATTTGGGTGTGTCAATAGCCTGCGGCCCTAGCGCTCCGGATTGCGGGTCAGAATATGCGCGGTAACTTGTTCCCTAAAAACGGCAGTGCAGGGGGATTTCACTCCAAATACCACTGCCCCGCCGTCGGGCTTTGGGTCGGAGGTTTTGGCTGAGGACCCCAATCGTCCCCTTCTCCAGGTTTCAGGGTCATGGTAATACGCACACAACCATGCGTTTTACAACTCAAATGCTCGTGCAACATTGGCCGTTGTGTGATGTCATCATCTGTATGTACTGCACACAACGGGGTGGGTAAGCGAAAGCAGGTTACGCGCCATACTCCCACTCTTCCTATTTCGCTTGCTCTTTTCCATTTCCAATGCAATTAATAACACTCCTTCTAGGCTCACTCACCAGGAATGGCGACCAAGTTCATCTAGCTGTCACACCGAACTGACATTGATGTGTGCTGTGTATCAGAAACAAGCATCCAAGAAGCAAGTACAGTGATCGAGCAAACTGCCCTATCACTATTCACTTACTTCCGGCTGCGCACCTCTGGCGATCTAGAGGCCACTGCGAAGCCACCGGACATAAGTTCCCTTTCTTGTCTGTATACCCGTCGATAGTCACCTATATGCGGTTCGTCTGGCGACGCCCGTGAAGGGGACCCGCAAACAGGACGTTGATCCACGTATGTTCTTCGTGGCTTTTGAAAGGCCCCAATCGACTGTAGCTTTGATATCTTGTATGCCCTGTTGCTACGGACCAGAGGCTCAGATGCCGTGTTTACGGGAGATCCGAATGCACAATTCGACAGGATTGGGATACCTCAGACCCAGTTAGGTGGTCAGCACGCAGACAGCGGTGAAAAATTGTTCCAGCTACATGCTGACGGAAGGTTGAATGCAGTCTGACTTTGATCCTGCTATTGTGTGGGGCGTATTAGCATTTAACATTCCATCAGCATTACGCGTGCAACAGAACAGTCCCGTTTATCACTTTGGCGAGGTAGCTTGAGCGTTTCAAGCTGACCTGGTTAAAAGCAACTGGAACCGGACAATCATGCGGATGACGAGGGTTGCTTGTGGGTCAAATGGGCGCATGTGAAGGGAGCTATGCGCTCAGGCTTAGAACTGTTTGTCCGAGCAATCCAACTTGACCAAGAGTAAAGTGGACACCATCGAGATCAGTAGATATCATTGCTGCCAGAAAGGCCATGCCAGCAACGAGCGACTATGATGGCGCATGCATATCCCTCAAACACCGGATAAGCAGGAGCCTGGAGAATGGCAGAGACCGCTGGTGGATTTTGGGGGCCCAAGAAATGGAGAAGGCCCTCACTGAAAGCAACAGTTGTTTTGATCAACCGACCAACGATCAGAGAAACAATATGCGAAAAATGCGGAGATTCACCAGAAGCAAGCTGGACCGAGGATTCATCGGTCATATCACCCCTTGGAACATGCGAAAAATGCGGAGATTCACCAGAAGCAAGCTGGACCGAGGATTCATCGGTCATATCACCACCTTGGAACAAATTCTTGAACCGCGCCACTTTTTCAGATGTCGCATGTTGGTCGTCTTTCTCGATCTGAAGACTGCTTGTGGCTGTCGATTGCCAGAAATTTTGGTAGTGTCCGGAGATTAAATGTGTCCGTTCCAAGTTTCCATCCATTTATCGAGGGTCTGCATGCGAACAACTGTGGACGGTACGGGCAAACGGCCAGCTTTTGCCCGAGTTCGCCATGTCAGTGGCATCATACAAGGCTGCCCTCACTCACCTTTCCTATTTAACTATGCTTCTGATGTGCCGCTTAAAATTTTTGTCTGCCTCCGAAGCTTCGGGGGGTCAGAAGGCTCGAGTGACGTTCCCACCCAGGCGTTGATCATGCGGACGATATTGCCTTTTTTGATTCAGATCCTTCGAAGGTGAAAACCAATTTAAGCAACCCAAATAATTCTGCCGCTAGGTGTGGCATGTGCTTCACACCTGCCAGGTGTGAGGGCGCTCCAGAAAACTGGTTGGGATCAAACTCAAACCCTATGCCTACAGAAGAGGCACTCGGCGTGGTAGATAAAGTTGTTTGCTTTAGCAATTGTATACATCCCGTTAGACTGCCTGGATATGGCCTTATTTCTCGGATATGGCAGCCTTTGCCAACCTCAGATGACTATGGCGCCGACATGAAGTCAGTATGTCTGTCTACGGCAATCATCATCATCATAAAAGTCATGACATCAGTGTTCCGAACTGACTCTTCACTGCTGTACAACCGTGATCTATTTGAAGTCATGATGAAGAAACGAATGAAGGTGGACAGAGATTGGACTTGGTGCTACCTTATCACAATCATCCTGGGGTGCCTACACCTCCAGTCACTCACTCAGGCAGTCTTGATAGAAACCGACAACACAAAAACCATTGACATCGATTAGCAGCCACATCTCCAACCAGGTGCATTGGAGATCACGCAGTTCTCATCCTGAACGACGAGTAGCACCAACGGCAGGCAGATGTTTCGTTATCTCTTTCATACCCGTGTGCCAAGTCAAAGGTTGCCCTTCGCCTGCATCTGCCACTTTGATTTTGACCAGGGAGAACCGCTTTCCGGCAAACGGCATTGGCAGTATATGGCCTAACCAACGCAGCTTTTGGTGCTGGAAAAATCCTAAAATGGAAGGCCTCGCTTCACAACCAAAAGCCTTCTTTATAATTGCCTCGCTACGTAATTCCCGATACCAACCTACACGATCAGTCATCCTGAGACAGTGACTGCGGAACACTTGAAGACGTCTCAGTTCTGCTGCTCCAGCAGACCAAGTCTCACAGCCATACAACAAAAAAGCTTGCTCTGTAGTCTGATAAACACGCCCCTTGAGATTCAGGGATATACTGCCATAGACGTCTGAAAAAGCCCTGCAGACTCTTGGATTGACGCCAACTGTCAGAATCAATACAACGTTCAAGATGCGCAAAACGCCCCACAGGTTCGAGTGACTTCCTCAGGATTGAGTGACACGTTCAGTGCCACAAGTCCACCGGCATGTGTTTACACTTTTGGGTGCAAATTGCACACCACAGCAAAAGATAACTTTGTTCAGTCAATCCAAAAACAGCCTCGCCTTCTTGTCGTCTTACAACACGAGACGATATCCTCGATATATTCCAGTTAGAAAAACCTAACCTTTCGTTAGAACGTATTTGAGCTCCGTGTCGGTTCTTGGCTTCCTGTTTTGCCCAATATGGTGTATCAACTGGAGGGTATCTCCAGACACCCCTTCGTGGAGTGAAAGAGAGATTGTTATGAGGTCAACATAGAATGGTTCATGAATTCACAAAACCTTTCTGAGAGGCCGGGAAGCGTTGGGCTAAAGATGCTCGATCCAGATTGTCCGACGTTCTCGCCAATCAGGGCATACTTCCAATTGGTCCGTAAACAACACGTGACACATCCGTCCTGTTGACCTAATATCTGATCATCAGTGGCAGTTGGTTTCCGGACGATTCGTATCAATGACTCATCGTCCAAGAAACTGCATGAGAATGGATAAACTGGGCACGCCTGATGGATAGCACTTTCTGTACGGAAAATTGGGGGCCCCTCATTACCTCTCAGTTTGGGAAGTTTGAGAGTACAAAGAAGGCATACCACATGCTCACAAGCTTCCGGGGTATCTCCCTGAATGGGCGCTACATTAGAACAATTTTTATTTCTTATCAATGGTGTTATTTTTGTCAGCTTTTACCACGATTGCGTGAATGTGTATTTGGAGCTTTGGACGCTCCGGACTGTTTGTAGTAGGCTGACGCATAATCCCTCGCTTCTACTTTTTCTTCTGTTCTTCACGAAAATGCTCTAAAATAAATCGTTGTTTATAGGTCAGTGCTGCATTAATGTCGCTCTGTTGATGGTAATGTTCATATCTAGTAGGAACATTAAATCATTAATACTGGGGTTCATCAGGTGGTCCTAGGATGAAGGAACTCTCCTATGATCGATGATTTACTCACACTTACTTGTTTACACCGGTTGGGATATGCACCCTACATTCATGGAGACCGTCTGCCTCAAAGAGCCTTTTTTGGTTAGCCGTATACTAAGTGTAAGCGACCAAGATGTAGACAGTGCATGACCTGGCAACGAAGGATAAGAACACCGACATGGAAGCCTAGTCGAGTCGACGGCTGCCGCCTCTTCGAATGAAGAACTCTGATTCAGCTCATTGATGGTTAACGAGACCGGCAGAAATCGCCCAATCGCTCAGTTAGTGGCGCTCGTGCATCAAAGCTTTTGCCTTCAGTGAACAACTACTCAGTTCCCATACTCACCAAGCGTGCCATCGTCTCCAGGGCTTGGCCCTATGTTCCACGGTCTGTCACCTTCCGGTGATCCAAACTGCAACCGATGTACCTATGGTGCATGGTTTATAGCTGATAAACTTGGGGTTGTTTTGAAGTTTGACCATAGGCTCTTCCAATGGAATTCTAACTCCAAATAACCAAAGCCGTCTGGCCACAGAGCGCCCTTATACAGCGTGCCTGCTACAAACGCGACTCTATCACAACGCCGACACACATAGCTCATTTCAGACCAATACGTGAATTCTGATCAGGCGCTTGTCCGGAGTTGCTTTCTTCTTCGACTTCTATTGTCACCTAGTCAAATAGTTCAGAAAATGATGGATCGGTCTATCCCGAAGTTAAAATAAGCCGCCTTCTGAACTACCTTTAAACTGTTCCACCGCCACAAACAATTCATACTCTGGCGAGATAGCTGAATTATCGCACAATGTATGGATTTCTATCTGAGGTACAGTGCCACCAGATCCCCTCAAACAGCAAGTATTGGGCAGAACGGGCCATTCGTAGAACGCAACCGCCGACCTTAAGACCTAGTGGGCAAGGAGAGTTGAGGAAGTGAAAGCCGCTCAAAAGCCCAGAGATTATTTCAGTTGATTCGTGCGACTGATCCACGGTAACCGCCAATGATCAAAACTATCTTCAATAAAAGATGCCTTGATCGCTGTGCCAACGGCTCTGCGGAACAGGTCTCACGGCGACCTGCAGTTGCTCATTTTGGCTTTCTAGCTTGATGCTGAACATCGAAGCCCTATGGTGTTGGAGGCTGATGGCTGTATATGTTTCAACGATATCTTGGCTCACGTGACATTCTCACATGAATCCAGGTCAGTGGTGAAGTCCTTAGCCACCGCTTATCTGATATATCCACTCCCTTATAGTTGCAGGGGACCGCCCCAGACGGTTGGGAAGAACTGACGACAGAGTTGACTTCCAAAAGAGCACTCCTATTAGATACCGTAACCAAAAGGGAATTACCTAGACGAAAAGCGGCGTCCATCAAAGATGCACACTCTCTACATTACTGATGAGATGAACGCTAATCCTCAAAAGCTTGATGTTCAAATACCCGCTTCAGAAAACATTGGTGATCTGGAATGTGCAGTTAATATCATTCTCATTTTCTAGGGGAAATTGCAGTGCTTTCTGAACGAACTGACTAAACTTATTTGTCCTATGGCATGAACTTTCCACTCGCGAATTGTAAGATCGTGTCACTTGACACGCGGTCACTGAAGATGCATCTACAATCCAAGGACAGGTGCTTAAAGTTGCGGACGTTGTATTAGTCCCAATTGTAGTGTGTCGGATGGGGATATTGCACGAATCGTTTAGACTCAGGTCTGGTTTTTTAGTTTGAGACATAGGTGTTGGTAGATCCCTGAATATCAAGGGACGGGTATATCAGGTCACAGTAAGACTGTAAGGCTCAATCTCCACGAACAACTGGTCTACGACATCCTCAATCCCTTGTGGGTTGTGGGGACAGACCAAAGTCGATGAGCCGAATTGCCTTCATACACCACAGGGCCTTCGAAAATCTGACTACATTCCGTCATGTCCCCTGTGTTATGGCAAACGCATAATTGCCTGCGGGCGTTCCACTGCGCAACGATTGCAGGCACAGGGCAAGCAGTTTTACGCCTCGCATGCACAACGTTTGCAGAAATGCAACCTGCCTTTAGGCTTACCGAATTTACCCATAAATTTGCCACAAAATGATCGGAGACGAAATGCATGTGTGCTAAAGAGACAACACCCTAGCAAAGGAAACGGTACGGCGTAGTAAATGTCCAAAAGATGTCACAAACCTGTATAACGAGTCGTATTGCCAGCGCATGCGGCGGAAACATCACGCAAGTTCGGACTACTTGTGGACGCGCCACTAGCAGCCAACACTTAATGAATACTGAAGAACGATTTGTTGTTGGGTCTACACTTTTGGCTATCAGAGCTTTTTGGCTTATCAGAGCTCGTCCCGATGTTATACAAACAAGCGGCCCGCTCTCCCAGCCAACAAGATGCGGAGCGGGCAGACTCCACCCAACTGGAAATGCAGTTTTGGTGCAGGATTCCGGCCATAACTTCACAACTGAAGCTTTTTTGACGTGGCTACGTTGTTGAGGACTCATACCTAGTTGCCTCATCTGCTCATGCATCTAATCTCTTTGACGCATGGGAGTAGTGCATGCGCTGGCTGGGCCTCCAACAAGGTGGTGGATGGATTTTTTAGCGTCGCCAGGACCAAGGGTTTAGAGGCAACTCTAGGTCATGGACCAGGATCTACGCACTTGCTGACGGGATTAGGTTCGTGGAGTGAACCCACCTTTCTGTGTCAAACTGAATCCTGTAGAACATATTGCTGCATGTCGAAGGGATGTCTTGAAAACCGCCAAGAACCTCTGCCGCTGTATATGCTATCCTGGCCTGCACTGAGTGGTAGTGCCGTGATGCTGATTGAATCGTTCCCCTGCAGTAACTCTGTTGGCTTTTTTGTGTCCGGAATTCGTCATGCCGTGGTGGAAACCTTCGTCAGAACAGCACAGCTGGTAATAACATTCCTTGAAGAAAATTAAGCTTTAGTTTACTTTCAGGTGTTAGCGTAAACCTTCTTCACTCCTCTCTTGTCATTCCCTTACGTCTAAACATATGAATTACACGCTTCGAGGTTCCAACGAAGAGTTCTGCCCGGCTGGTTGACTGTGGATGAAAAAGTGGTGAGCGGATGTGGGTCACAGTCTACTCTTTACAAAGCACCGCGCGTACCGATGTTGTGAACCAACTGACAGTATCTTGCGGTTTCGGTTTATCACCGCACTGTAAGCGGAATTTGAGAACCTGCTCGTCCTTAGGGACTACCTTAGGAATGTAGACGTGATTCCTCGCAAGGACCTTCTTTCCGTGCCCTTTAAGAGACTGGCTGAGAAAGGATGTTCCTCGCAATTTTGGAATAATAACGTGTTCTGAAAATAAAAGGCATCTGTCAGTTATTGACGAATCGTCACACAGGTCGAGAAAAAGTCAAACTCCACTTTGTGTGCATGTACGTATCCAATGACCGTGATGTCACTGCAGTACAAGGTCTTGTTCGGTAGCCAGAAGGACCATGTCAGCGCCCACTGATAGGGTGAAAACTCCCTCCAACACCAAGCGGTTGATCACTGGCTCCAAGCTAATTGTTTCATCCACAATATCATCTCGTTTTGACTTACTTGAATCAAGGAGAAACGGCAGTGAGTCGGTATTTTGAGGCCTGATCTTCGGGTGTTATCTCGGGAGCAGAATCGCTTATTAGAGT